GACTAACTCTTTATTCTGTCTTCATTTTAATCACCTCAAAGCTTGAAAAACAACAAAGTCTACAAAAACAAGGGAGCCACTAACAGCAAAACCGTCCGTACTCTCCGCATAAAATTCAATTTTATGTTACCTGTTTTGTCATTTTGACTGTCAGAAATCGTTGACTAATAAAATCAAACCTTCTAATGCATTCTATACTGTATACCACGCGACTGAGCTAACCAAGATTTATCTGTTTTATATCCTCAAAAAACATTAGATTATTGAGTGTTTTCATAGAAAATATTCCATTGAATTGCTCATATATTTAGCCGATCTATAGGAAAAATTAAGTGTTTTTTAGTTCTCTATCGAATAGTGTACGAACATATGAGAAACGATTATTCCGTGCCTCTCCTTATATAACGATATAGTTCATGTTATATATCACCAATAGGCTCTAATGACGAATATCACCTATTGTTCATTTCAGAGTGAAGTAGGCGTGAACATTTTTTGAATAACTTTAAAACAACAAGAGAGAAATAACTTGTATTTTTAGCATTATCGAGAGTTGACATTGTTCTATGCTTTTACAAAGTCAATTAAAAATCCCAGTCACTTTTCTTCTTGAATATATCATGAGCTTAATCTGTCCTAAAAATGATACGCTTCCTCAATTATAATATAATGTAAAAAAATAGCTCATCTTTTCCTCCATCGATCTATGCAAGACCGAGATCGATAACTGTTTGTGTTGAAAAAATATAAAGGTTTTACTGAAGTCTACTCACTAAATCTTTTCAAAAGCTGGGTAGATAATTAAATATTTTCTTCTATAAGTTCTTAATCGCCTTCAACTTCGTGACATGATTTATTAATCTTTGAAGTATTTTTTTTCTACTATAGTCCGAATTATTAAAAGTACGAGTTCGAATTTTACTTATTTTTAATTTCATCATGATGTGTTGTTTTGTTTTTATATACTATAGGCTGACATGAATTGGTCATATATTTACGATTATAGTCCTATAGTGGTCCTATACCCCTACTGTATATCTTGGATTTTTATCTTTATGTATATGTGTATATATAGTCGATTGGGGTAGTTCGGATCACTCCAGCAAAATCAATAGAATTTTACTTTCCCATCTTCCTATTAACTAATAATTAATCAAAATTAAATAAAAAATATACCATTCGATAGCCCAAAGTTTTTTCTATGGGACCTGAAAAAATCTCATCGATTCATTGAATCGTTGAAATAAAATTCTCATTACAATGAGACCTACTGAGGAAAATTTTTTTTTTTCTTCTTCTGGTGTAATTCGGATCTTTCCAGCAATTTTAGCTGGAGAGAACTTGCAAAACCTCTAGCACTTTTCGAGTTGATTTTCAAGAGTTGCATCCCATACAAAAAATGTTCATCTCACTTTGCTCTACCTATTCATGTAAAATGAGAAAAAAAATCAATTGATTTGACCGATCATTGTTGAAAATAAGAAAACATAAAAAAAGTAAATTTTTTTCAATCCCACCTTTGTGTCTTTCAATCACTATTTCATTTTTACGAAACATCTAACAAAAAAAAAGTTTCACTTTTCAAATACAAAAATCCTGCCGCTACATAACTATGAAAAAATAAAAATCATATGATCTATCTACGAGACGTTAGATGACTATTAATCGGAATTGACTTGATTTTCAATTCCATTAAATTTCATATTTATTCGACTTTTGAAGCAGAAAAACAAAATTATTAGATAACAATAAGAGTTCGTAAAAAAAAATAAAATAGAATGTTAAGGGTTCGCAAAATAGTAAGAAAGAATATTGTGATTTCGTAGATAAAATAATAGGTATATTATCAGTTAATAATAAAGTTTTAATGGTTTCTTCTCAATGACCTTAAGAATGAACATAGAAACAATAATGAAATTAGAAATGAAGTAATCTATATAGTCGACGACATTTTTATAGAACAATGAACACATGAGTTCCAAGGACTTTGTTTAATGCATGAATTGCATATTGATCGATAGCATGAAGTACACGAAATAAGAGAATCGACTACCATTTGACATTGTATGCATCTGTATGGAAATGATGTTGGTGAGTTTGTTGATAGATTATGGAATAAATTGCTCGAAAAATTATATTGAATAAGATCAGAAGATAAATTAGACCAAATATTGCCATTATTTGTGGCTTGCATTGTTTGAAAACTTGGTGATTGATTATATGTTGATGGTGCATACATGATATGACTCATCTGTTTTGATAGAATTCTGTTTGCATCGAATTTGAATAAGGCAGTACTGATATTGTTGTACCTATGAAAAAAGAAAATATAAATTCATTGACATATAAATAGTATGATATACTGTTTTGGACAGTTGATGATGTTGTCGGAGAAAGATTTGCCGGTAAGAGTACACATGATTGAGTATCAGATGAATTGGTTAGTACCGGATTTCTTGAAGTTGTAAGACTACATGCTATATCTGAAATAAAAGAGTAATCTTAGTGAGATGCTTGCAATTGACCCTTCACACTGCTCAAAAATAATCTTACGAGATTTTCTGTCCTAAAAAAATGTACTGAATCACGGTTCATAATTATTATCCTACTTGTTGCATCTGCTTTACAACACTTCCTCGACGTATATTTTTTGGTGGCTTCCGTTGAGCTTTTTGAAGTTCGCTTTCTCTTTTTTTCTTTCAGTTCTTCGTTCACTTTCTTTTCGGTCATAACTTGCCCAATGGATCTATTTAATAAAGTTCGTTAGGCCGATTTTTTTTCGGATTGATTTGGTGCTGATGCAAATAAAGTATGTAAACAATTGATCATAGCTTGTAATGATGGCTCTGATTGATTAATCGTAATGCTTGACGATGTACGTTCTAGAATAAATGTTGATCACGAGAAGAAGCGAAGATACGATTTACCTTCATCCTCTGATGACTCAATAACTGTAGTTGTTGATGTTGATTTTTTTTTGAACGACCATTCTTTGTTGCATTTAGTTGAAGCTGTTCATTTGTTGCTTTTGGTTTTGAAGAAGCTTGTAGATTACTTGAAGATGACATGTTCATTCCTGCAGTAGAAATGCTAGAATTTGGATAATAATCATCGTCTTGTTCTTCTTGATCAATTATTGTTTCTTGTAGAACTTGATCTAAAATTGAGATAGCTTCATCTGATGTCATCGAAAGTGGTACTACAGGAGCACCAGTAACCAAGACCTTGGTGATTGAGTCGTCGACACTTTGATTATTATCATGTATGTTTGTCATATCAGATGTGTTAGAAGTAGAAATACAGTTGTCATTGTTAGGTATATTGCCAAGGAGAGAATTATTTGTATCGTTTAAAGAAGAATCACTTACCGATGACAGCTGATTTTCAAGAATTTTTGATCGGTTGATACATGTTGGATTTAATGGAAAGACTCCCGTTGTCATGAAAGATTTAATAATATTTACCTTGCTCTTGATTGCATCGGTATGCCAAATTCGAGACAAAAGTGTTGGAAAACGAGCTTTGCTAAACTGTTTGTTTCGTGTTCGATGATATTCTTCTGTCAAAATCCTGAGACAAAATCAGTTATACCCATGTAAAAAAAAAATCAGATTAAAAATCGATTAAAATGAGAC